AAGTTGTAAATAAAATACAGCTCATTAAACCTCAATCTGAATATTAGTAGAACTCCACTGAGGTTTGGGGTAACAGAATCCATTCCTCAATATACAGGCAAACTATAGGCCTATAGTGCAGCCCCCCAAATAGTGACCTCCGCCCCTCTATGTCCCCTACGTGATGGCTTTGAATCTGTGAAGGCAGAGCTCCCAATAATCCCTCCTGTAGCTTGCCTCCATTCAAGTCTTCTGTGTTGGTGGTGGGGGTTGCACAAACCCCCTGACTAGATGCTCCATATGCATAACCTTATCTGGACTATACATCATTCGGAGGGGTTTTTACAGGCCCTGTAACATGGGGTAAATGTCACCTCAAGAGAATTTGTAATGACAAAAGAGCTTTGTAAAAATAGTGCAAGATTTTGGACAATGGCTAACATACCAACACAAATCCTGCTCCTATTCACAACCTTGCACCCTGCTTTAAACTATTAGTCTCTCTAGGGTCTTCTTATAGGATGTTTCCAACAGACTTGAATAATTGGGTTCCAGGAGTGAACACTTGAGAGTGTAAAATATGGCTACACCTCACCAAGCTCCGGGCAGTGATATAGAATAGATTTTTTAGTATAGCTTACTTGAGAGGAATGCAGATCGTACCACAGTGATTTCTGAACACCAATAGCTTATTGTAAAAGCATTCAAAACACCGTACTAACTACACTAAAGTGTAGAGGTTTGGGCTGTTACTGTAGTGCCTATACTATTTAAAAATGAAAGTAATGAAAACAGTATTTTTCTCAGCAATAAAATAATTGTGTGGAATACTCCATTACTCTAAAAGCATTTACCTTCCTCATCTCAACATATATACACATGCTGAAGTACTTTTAATGTACAATATGTAACATGAAAACCCTTTTAAGTGTATTTTTCTAATACAAACACACTACATGACTGTGCAGTTATGAGCAAACACTTGTAATTCACAAGATAGCCTCCCCAGGATTTTCAGGTGTATAAAAATCTTTGGACTAGCGATTAAACTCTGATATAGGTTAGTTGTATCCCATCTTTTGCAGTTCTTTATTTTGTCTTTGAAATAGTACTGCAAGAATGTGATATTTGTTCAAAATCTCTGTTTTAAAGCATGTGGAAACTCTGCGTGTTCACTGACTGGATACATACCCAAACTGACTAGATGGCATTTTAGGTTTTTCATTTTAGAAACTGCATTTAATTCAGAAAGTGGTCATGGTTTTCACAACATTCTGATAAACCGAGTGCAAGGCCATTTTCCAAAGACCTTTAAAAAAAAAACGGAAAAAACATGTTTAGGCACAAACTAGCCACATAAGCAAATAAAACTTCATCTAAGTCCTAAAGCTGAAACACTGTTCACTGTGTTGACTGTGTGTAGCACCCTACCACCTAGTGGCCTGTTGTATAAATCTAAACATGTAATGGTATGCAGTTTACCTAATCTCTCTACTGCAGATTTCTCTTCAGTCACCAGCTATGTGAATTCATGAACATATCCCATCTTGTTGAAGCAGCTGTTTCTGCTAGTTGCTAGAACATGCTGGACTGCATTTACCTCACTTCAAAGAAGAAATGCAGTTGTGCTGCAGCATGGAAACAAAGATTTGTATAACTATTAGCATGTTGAATGGCTGAGGCAGAAGACAATTGATGCATAACTACTATATTGATGGAAGTGGCTTATCTAGCAAAAGAGTGCGCTGTCCCCAGCACAGAGTCGGCTGGAGGGGTGCTGTCCTACCCTTTCTCTGTGGAGCTGTCAACCCCCCAGCTGCAGTGATCTCTTGGGCTTTTGCCACCATTTCCACTCACACACAATATCCAGTGTGGGGCTCCTGCTGCTCTTTTTCAGTGCAGTGGGATTCGTGGGGCAGGGCTTCCAGTCTTCTCCACACCCCTTCCCGATGCACTGTGGATGCCACTGCTCCTACCTCACGAGCAGCCTGGTAGGGCAGCTCTCCATCCCCAGTTTCTCTAGCTTTCTGGGGGCACGTCTTCACTACCCGCCCGATCAGCGGGTAGCAATCGATCTATTGGGGATCGACTTATCGCGTCTAGTGAAGACGCAATAAAATCGATCCCCGATGGCTCTGCCGTCGACTCCGGAAATCCACCGCGGCAAGATGCGGAAATGGAGTCAATGGTGGCACGGCAGTGGTCGACTCGCCACCGTCCTCACAGCCAGGTAAGTCAACCTAAAATATGCAACTTCAGCTACGCTATTCACGTAGCTGAAGTTGTGTATCTTAGGTCGACCCCCTCTCCCCCGTAGTGTAGACCTAGCTTAAGACATACACTGCCCCACCCCCCTGCCACAATTGGCTCATGGAGCTGCTAGTACACACATCCATTCCCATCCAGGTAAAGTTTGAGGTGAAGTGGAACTGCTTGCTGAAGTCTGTACAGCTTAGGGTGACCAGATGCCCCGATTTTACAGCTACTGATGAATGAATATCAGTCTGGGTATACTTCTGTGAATGTCAGTCTCTGGTGCTATTGTCCTGGGAACATACATAATTATGCAACGCCTTAAAGCAGTGGTTTTCAAACTGGCGTACGTGAGCTCTTGTCAGGAGGTAGGCAAGAAAAATCCTGTAATGGTAGACAACTCATTTTATTTAGTAAGACTTGGAAATCTACTCATATGTATATTATGACCCTAGCTCAGATGGAGGTATGCGGTAGACTACATTATTTGGCAAGGGGTACGCAGCCTAAAAAGTTTGACAAGCACTGCCTTAAAGTAAAGAAATAATAAAAGCGATGCTCCGGGTCCCGTCAAATCTGAGATATCAAATCCTACCCACCTAGTTTTCCCCCCAAAGGGGATGAAAACAGCAAAAAAGCTATAGATTTGCCAAAAAGGAGGTGCTATTTCAGCATGCAATGAACTTCTAAGGACAGCACTAAGCCAATTGACATCTCATCTGGTAGCGCCAAAGAATAATTAATGGCAGACATAGAATATCAAGGTTGGAAGGGACCATCTAGTCCAACCCCCTGCTCAAAGCAGGACCAATCCCCAACTAAATTATCCCAGCCAGGGCTTTGTCAAGCCTGACCTTAAAAACCCCCAAAGAAGGAGATTCCACCACCTCCCTAGGTAACCCATTCCAGTGCTTCACCACCCTCCTAGTGAAAAAGTTTTTCCTAATATCCAACCTAAGCCTCCCCCACTGCAACTTGAGACCATTACTCCCTATTCTGTCATCTGCTACCACTGAGAACAGTCTAGATCCATCCTCTTTGGAAGCCCCTTTCAGGTAGCTGAAAGCAGCTATCAAATCCCCGCTTCATTCTTCTCTTCTGCAGACTAAATAATCCCAGTTCCCTCAGCCGCTCCTCATAAGTCATGTGCTCCAGCCCACTAATCATTTTTGTTGCCCTCCGCTGGACTTTCCAATTTTTCCACATCCTTCTTGTAGTGTGGGGCCCAAAACTGGACACAGTACTCCAGATGAGGCCTCACCAATGCCGAATAGAGGGGAATGATCATGTCCCTCCATCTGCTGGCAATGCTCCTACTTATACAGCCCAAAATGCTGTTAGCCTTCTTGGCAACAAAGGCACACTGTTGACTCATATCCAGCTTCTCGTCCACTGTAACCCCTAGGTCCTTTTCTACAGAACTGCTGCCTAGCCACTCAGTCCCTAGTCTGTAGCAGTGCATGGGATTCTTCCGTCCTAAGTGCAGGACTCTGCACTTGTCCTTGTTGAACCTCATCAGATTTCTTTTGGCCCCAATCCTCTAATTTGTCTAGTCCCTCTGTATTCTATCCCTATCCTCCAGCATATCTACCACTACTCCCAGTTTAGTGTCAACTGCAAACTTTCTAAGGATGCAATCTACGCCATCCACCAGATCATTAATGAAGATATTGAACAAAACTGGCCTCAGCACCAACCCATGGGGCACTCCGCTTGATACCGGCTGCCAATTAGACATTGAGCCGTTGATCACTACCCGTTGAGCCCGATGATCTAGCCAGCTTTCTATCCACTTACAGTCCTCTTACAAGAAGGCTGGTTCCTCTTTTCCCCACTCCAGAAGCAGGTGGTGGGCCAGCATTATTTTTAGTGACTGGGCATTGGGTTTATATAATGCACAGCTGTGGAGCTGAGTAAAGTTTAGAGGAGCATAAACAAACATACACAGGCCCATATCTATTTTTCTTGGCATTCCCGATACTGGAAACACGCCCCAACAGACTTATTTTTAAATCTATTAAAAGATCCCCCACATTTCCCCCCTAGACTGATACCTTATATGACATATTTCAGCTAGAAGCACACTTTCCCAGTGGAATTAAAATCCGCTGAAGACCCAGGGTTATGTAACGGAAACAATGAGAGCTCCTTAACTACAATGACCTCAGAGCACTACTATCCCCCAAATAAACCATTTCCTTAGCACAGCTCTCCTGACATGGTGGTTAGAAACCATTGAATAAGTTTCATAACAGAAGTGATAATTGAAGAAACAATGAATTCTGAGTTATCAACTAATTCACTATAGCTTCATGAAAAACAAACCATCACTTTTCCCCCCATGGTCAAACGTATGAGCATGTGAATTGTAATAGCCCAAGAATCTCTATTTTTTTATTTAAACATTAAGTATATATTAATAGCCTAAATATAACTCAGAAAGTTCATTATTGTCTATTACAGCACCCCCCAGGTTGCTTTAACTTGTGTCAAGGCAAAGGCAGGAACTGCAAGATTCCCTAATAGCATCCTGCTTTGCTGCATCCAGCACTAAATCTGCTCCAATGAATTAAATTAATCTCTGGTGCTACTGGATTGATTTCAATAATATACAAAAGCTTTTGCTCCAAGAAGAAGGCTTCGGGAGAGTACTTGTATCAATAGGAAGTGAAGACGGAAATACAAAAAACGAACACTTTAGTAGAGGTAGTGTTTTCATATGCACAGACTTAGTCTTGTGTTTGATTATTTTAAATAAGGAAAATACATACAGTAAATCAATCTTTTATTATAGAGATGTATCAAACACGGTTTGAGGTATACCTATGTACACATTAAAGCTGTTAGCTGTTCTGTTCACTGTTAATAAATATTTCATAATTTTTAAGAAGTCCATGTACTTCTGTTCTCCATGCCTCAGTGGTGTTTTTATGCAAATCAAAGGGCATTTCATAATTCTGTTACACTGAATTGCTTGGTTAAGTGGACACTGTCTTCAGCATAAACTTTCATGACAGTATAACTTCCTAGAGCACAGCAGTATAAAAGCTCTTATAAAGAGCAGTACAAAAGAAGTATCATTAAAGCTAGCAATCTGTGTTAACATAACTACGCCAATATTAGAAAATAGGCATCCTGTATCAATAGATTTCAGAAAAAAATATTGAGATTGGCTTCTGGGTCATCTTCGGTTTCTGACTCTTCTTTATTCTCTGAAGAGGTGCACACGCCAGGCTCTTTATCTGGTTTTCTTTTTCTTCTGTGAGTGTACACAGAATGAGTCTTCTGTATCATCTCACGAGGTGAGTTACGCATGCTGAGTTCAGTTTTCAAAGCTAACTGTAGGCAGTTGTAAAATCTGGAAAGGAACAAGAACGTATTTATTATGTTTGCTTACGTTCTGCAAACAGAACATTAACACTTTGGCAACACAAAATGTCGTGTATAATGTTTCATATAATTCTAACTAAAATCCAAAGGCAGACCTGATCAGTATTGTGAGGGGGACTCAGGGATACCAGCACATACGTTCCGTGCATGCTCTGTCAGTTCTCTAATTTCTGACCTTCTAGGAATCTAATTGACAGTTATGCCCTATGTATAATGAAAGTCCCATTCATATTGATGAAAATTACACAACAGATGATCTCAAACACTTTTATGGTTTGCATCACATCTTAATAGCATCTAATGGTCAATCCTATTCATAATCAGATGCACCATCATCACTCCCATTTGCAATTACTTTAACATCCCTGTGGCAACTACAGCAATTAATTCAGAAAAATATTTTAAAAATATCTAAATATGTTTAACTGTCCTTGGTGCAATTAAGTGTTTTGTCCTGTATCCTTTTGCTCTGTATTTCTTCTGCCCACCCTCTTTTGTTTTTCACAACTGGAAATGAGTAGAAAAGCCAGTACTGTGTAACTAGTCACCAGCAAGTGTTCCACAGACCACAGTTTGGGAACCTTAGACTAAAATTTATACAGCAACGTTAATGGGTGCATTCTAATCTGAATACTTAGGAAATTATGTGTAAATTCCTGTAGATTAAAATGAGATATTCCTGGCTTCATCAAAAGGTGAATCTCCTGTCCTTAAACACTGTAAAAATCTAATCAAACACAAACTCCACATGAAGATGCAGCTGTGGAAGTTAATACTCTGAGACTAGAACTCAATGTGCTATTCATGCCATATATCTGGAGCAACAATGGGAAGTCCTGCATGGACTTTTTAAAAAGCTCTGTAACAAATCTTCTCTCCACTACCTGAGACTGTTGCTTATATATGATTAAACGATCCTCTAGGGTCATCTATAATTTAAAAATACCAAAATCCTCTGAGATCAGATTTTCAATCTGTTTTACTATTATTTTTTGTGGCTAATCTTCCTGGTCTACCGGTTAGCAGACAAATGTTACACGTCTCTGGATTTAGATGTAGTGACACAGGATGCACATAATCTAACAAACCTGTCAATTCTCTTCATGTTTTCTTCCATCTTCCGATTAGCTATCTGTACCAGAAAGTCAACATATTCTTCAGTGACCATCAATTTCCCCATGTGACTTAATGGAACTTCTAAGCAATGAGTACTCCGGACAGCCTAGAGGCACACATAGATGTATTCATTTGAATTACATTAGGAGATAATAGCTCTAAAAAGTAGGTGCATTCATTACAGGAAAACCACCTGAAAAGATCTGGTTGTATTTCTTTGTGAGGAGAGTGATATGCCATGTCAGGAAAGTGTCATTTTTAAATTATTATTCAAATCTCCCACATACTTAAAAATGTGCTCATGTTAATAAATAATTGCTAACTTCTATAGCGAAGTAGAAAAATAGTGCATACCATCATAATTTTACCTCTTCTGCCAACTGTAATACCAGAGTTCCTGAATCCAGAATCTATAGCCACCGAGTGCTGTGAAACAAAAACATTTTAAACAGCAGTTCATACCTGTTTTGTCAGACTGAAAGCTTACTGTGGATTATATTGCAAGTTAAGGTCCCAATTTTGCAAAAGCTTACAGGGCATAGTCCCAACTGACTGCATTAAGAGCCACAATCACTAGTAAGTGTTTACAGGATCAGATGCTAATACTGTAACAAAATACTTTTCAATTAAATTTCAGTGACAAAGACAGATGGTAGTTTCAGTCTTGACCCATTCCATCAAGACAAAGGGGGAAGTTCATTCCTCTTTTGGCACTACATTGTTCCAGTTTAAATAGCAGCTAGTCGAAGCCAATTGTGGGATAGATATGTTCTTAGATGTAGATTCTGCAGAACTCAGCAAAGTTTGTAGAAAGAATCTAAGTAAAGATTTTCTTCCCTATATTAACCAAGGACAGGGTGAAGGTGAGGAACAAAATGATCCTGGGCAGGCCTACCAATCCCCATTTGAAAGGCAGAAGGCCCAGCATTATCCACTTAGCTGAGGTCTGGGAGCAAATGGTTCCAGTCAGTAGTGAACTAATTTCTAAAGAACACTGCCATGGGCCAGGGAAAGCAACACAGGTAATTCAGGCTCTCTCTAGCCAGTCTGCCTCAGCTAGAAGACTGAAGTGCATTTAAGTGGTTTTATTTTCTAGAAAGCACAGCAAAATCTGCAGAAAGAATCTTAATCCTTATTTTCTCCATCAACATACTTTTACTACCCCAGTTATTAAACATACACTGCTCCTAAGACTATTTCTAAGTGTTAAAATATTGAGGTGCTAACGTTTTTACTTATGCAGCAACAAATGTAAACAAAACAATACAACATTGTTGATCTAATTTTACCAGAAGCTGTGCATCCTGCAACTCTTGACACTGCACATGAAGAATGAATGGTTCAAATTTGAATACAGTGTCACCAGTGGCTTTCTGCAACGCTGTCATCTGGAAAATGCAATGAATATTAATATATTAATACTACAAGGATGAACTGTTACTATTAACATTTCATAATAAAATAGCTAGTTTGTGAAATGTTTAAAAACACCAGGAATGATTTGGCTCCAACAATCATGTTTGTTATTATTTAACTGCTTTTAACTTCCCATTGCTCATAATGCTGAGGATCTCTGCTGATTTTTAAGTATTAAACTGATTCTCTTGCCATGAATTTCTACTGGACCTCGACTTTTAAAAGAAAATTATTTGCTTCCCTGTTTGATTATTTTGGACATAAGAAAAACCAATGATGTCAGCACAGCATAGAGAGTATTGTTTTACTACAGTCAGCAGAGGAACCTTGAGAGCACAAAATATTACTACTACTCAGTTATAGTTTGTTTTTGATTTCTTACATTATTGGAAATGATCACGGACATGTTGATCCTCTTAAAAAGGTACAATAGGTTAAACTTGTGGCCTGAACTACTTGACCTTATTTTAATCTAGGTTTCAAAAATGACTCATTATACTACTTCTATGATAATGTTAAAATAAGATAAAATAAAAGGACTTATAAACTGAAATTAAACTCATAAGGCACACCAAGGGGAAAAAATAGCTAACAAACAGTTACATAGCTTTAATACTCTAAAGGATGAATTTCACCCTAAGGTCCCAGTTTTGACTTAGGGCTCTAACTGGAAAATCTTCCTGCAACATTTTTCATATAGATCACTTGCACTTAGACAAATATGAACACAGAGCAATTAAAGAGAATGCTGCATAATATACAGTTATAATTTATTATTGTATGCTATGTTTATGTAAAATAAATTTAAGGATTGAGATTATTGGTTTTAGTTTATAAAGGCTGCATTGAAACAGTTACATTATTCATTGCAGTTTACACCACAGTCTACTACTATATAATGTTCTAACTCTTTTGTTCTTATCTAGTGTTCTTATATCTAATTGACTTGCCTTCCCCACATCCCGTGAGCATCTTTAAAGAAAATACTAGTAGCTACCAATTTGCTATACTTATATTTAGGAAAAAAAAATGGAATTGCTGCACCATGCTTAATTCTTTTTTGGCTAGCATCCTTCCCCAATGCTTCCTTTAAATTGAAAATATTTCTTTAATCCTTTTTTAAAATTGAGAACTGTGAAAAATTCAACTATTTTCTGAAAACATCCACTCAATGTGCAGCGGCGGTCAAAAAAGCGAACAGAATGCTGGGAATAATTAAGAAAGGAATAGATAATAGGACAGAAAATATCATGATGCACTATATAAATCCATGGTACGCCCACATCTTGAATACTGTGTGCAGATGTGGTCACCCCATTTCAAAAAAGATATATTGGAATTGGAAAGGGTTCAGAAAAGGGCATCAAAAATGATTAGGGGTATGGAACGGCTTCCGTATGAGAGATTAATAAGACTGGGACTTTGCAGCTTGGAAAAGAGACGGCTAAGGGGAGATATGACTGAGGGCTATAAAATCATGACTGGTGTAGAAAAAGTAGATAAGGAAGTGTTGTTTACTACTTCTCATAACACAAGAACTAGGGGGTCACCAAATGAAATCAATAGGCAGCAGGTTTAAAACAAATAAAAGGAAATATTTCTTCACACAGCACACAGTCAACCTGTGGAACTACTTGCCAGAGGATGTTGTGAAGGCCAAGACCATAACAGGGTTCAAAAGAGAACTAGATAAATTCATGGAAGATAGGTCCATCAATGGCTATTTGCCAGGATGGGCAGGAATGGTGTCCCTAGCCTCTGTTTGCCAGAAGCTGGTAATGAGCGACAGGGGATGGATCACTTGATGATTACCTGTTCTGTTCATTCCCTCTGGGGCACCTGGCACTGGCCACTGTCGGAAGACAGGATACTGGGCTAGATGGACCTTTGGTCTGACCCAGCAGGGCCATTCTTATGTTCTTATTAGTTTAAGATACCAGTAATCTGGGAGAGGGATAGCTCAGTGGTTTGAGCATGGGCTTGCTAAACACAGGGTTGTGAGTTCAATCCTTGAGGGGGCCATTTAGGGATCTGGGGCAAAAAAAATTAGTCCTGCTAGTGAAGGCAGGGGACTGGACTTGATGACCTTTCAAGGTCTCTTCCAGTTCTATGAGATAGGTATATCTCCATATATTATTATTATTTTAATAGTGGTGTAAAATAAAACTGCTGAGGAGCCTATCTTCCCCTGTAGACTATTGTACAAGATTTAGATGTTCTTGTGTAGCATTTTCTTTCTGTAACTATCCTTGTTATTAAGGTATCAATCTTACAAATGTAGGTGCTTAAAGTTAGGCCCCTAAATAAATGGCCTCCTTTTTAGATGTGCTAAGTACCCACTGCTACTAGTGGAGCCAATGGGAACAGGAGACACTCAACAATTCTTAAAAACCAGATGCCATAGGCCCTGATCCTGCATTATGCAGCATACAGGTTACCTGCTGTGCCTGCATGAGCCCCACTGGCTTCTACAGGGCTTCAAATGGGCACAGCAGTCTGCCCATGCTCTGGGCTTACGTATGGATTTTTCGGTGTCTGAAAAATTGTAAGTATTATAACAGAATTTAATATTGACTGTGATCAGACTAAGTGATGTTGGTGGGTGTACTTTTTTAAAGGGATTCTGTTTCACTGACAAGGCTAAGTAATTTAGCAGACACTCTAGGGACAGGTTTTTCAGTGACAGTAAACGGGCAAGAAAGTCATACTAACTGAAATGGTCTGTGTATGTTAGTATGCCCCAAGGCCGCAGTGACTTACATTGCCTGTTGCACTGAAATGCTTACTAAATGAAATAATTGTGACCAAAGGATTTTACCTTATTGCTTCTAGACCACCAATTTCCTGTAAAAGGCTCAGAATTTAATAAGAAAATACTGAAAGTAATTTCCTATTAAGCCTACAAAGTCTGAGGCCCAGCCCTGTCCCCAGTGGAGTCAATGGCAAAACCCCCAGTGGGAGCTGGATCAGACCCTTAGTCAGTAAACAGCGAAAGCATAACTGCTGTAACTAATTAATAAAAAATGACTATCACTGATAAGTTATGCGAGTGACAAAGAAAGAAGTTCCCTTATTTCAAATACACTAATGTTTAATAAAGAATTATATAGAAAAGTTTTGCCATATGTTGATTTAATGACCATGGACAGCGTGCTCACTGTCTCATGGAACACTACGCAGTCCCTGCTACAAGAAACTTGCATTCTAAGGCTCTGAACCTACAGATGCTTGTGGGTGGATCCTTTTGTGTGCACAGATATCCATGGACTCTAACGGGAATCTGTGAGGGTGCAAGAATCTTCCTATGAAGATTTTACAGTAGTCAAACAGCAGCCCTATAATATAACTACTAATATTCCTCTGTATATTCTTCAAATAGGGTTGACAAATCAATGCAGGTTGACTTTCACAGTCCATTAGGAAAAACTGTACACCACTTTGACATTGTTATAATATGTTGCGCAATTTTAAAGTATTACTTTTTAATGGTTTTCTTCTTGTTGAATAAGACCCAGAAATCTTTTGTGAAGGGATGTTTTATAAACCAAAAAAACCCTACACCTTTCCTCAAAGGATCTTAAAGATAGCTATAAAAATTAATTACTCCTCAAATTTCCTATTCACATTTTAAAGTGGTAGATACGCATCGAGGCACAATGGGGTTAAGTAGCTTGCCTGCTGAAAACTCAACACAAAATTCAGGAGTTTCGACTTCCAGTCCAATTTTCCACACTTTATGTTTGTATTCTATGAAAATATAACAATTTTAAAAGTAGTCCGGTAAAGATTTCTCACACCTTTAATGGATGCATAAACATTTTTACCGTATCTACCAACTAGAAGTCAATACAAAAATTGAGACGGTTCCCATTAGCAAGAGCCAATGGCAATACCCTAGTAAGCTCAGACCCCACTCCTAGTAGATGGCAAATCAGAGGTTGCTGAGATTTATATGAAGGTGATATCAAGTAAACTAAGAAAAAATAAGACAGAGGGGCTTTTTAAAGTTTAAATGTATGTATATTATTGTTATGCAGTCTTTACAGTTTTTTTTTAAAACAGAATAACTAGTTTCATTTTATGGGGTACAATGTAAAGAGGAGCATTTAGAGAGCAAAAGGCAGTTTGGAAGCACAAAGTAGTTTGTAAATATTCAAACTGTTCAACAGTTTCTTAAACTGATTTGATTTTAGGTTTCAAAGCATTTTTTAGGATATAATTTTAATTTAAAAAATTGCATAAGAAAGCCATTGTCTTTTTGCATTTGTTCAGATTTGTAGTTGTAAACTGTGGCTGTTTCAATCTTAAAATGAAAGTTGTTAAAATTAAATCATAATGGAGTTTCTGCTGCATACAAAATAACAAATATGCTTTTTTGGAAAGCATGTCTGCCTTTTAATGAAGAGGACAGAGGTCCATTTGTGTTTGCTTCCTTATCTGCTCCCCCGGATAATTAATCATGCATGACAGAATATCCACAGCTCAGAATATTTAACTCTTGCAAGGATTAGCAAGGGTAACAAGATTATTATATGGATAACATGAATATCTAGTTATCATAAATAATGATAAATTGTAAGGGACATTAAACTTCATGCTTCAGACAATCTCTGACTATTAGAAAGTAGGATAAAACCTAATGCAGGAGGCAGATTATCCTGCATCTGCATACCTTCCTCTGTCGCATCTGATGCTGGCCACTATCTGAGATAGGATACTGACTAGACATACCTTAGTTATGATTCAGTCTGGCAATTCCTCTGTTCCTATTAGAGGGAAGTTTTGTTTCATTGCTACCATTAATTCAATTTAAACTGCTAGTGACAAAGTCATTACCATCTGAAGACTGTCTGGTCTATGGAAAGTGAGTTTATGGTGTCAGACAGGTTCCTACTGGAGGTGTCTACATCAGTCACTCTACAGCTGACATCTATGTTGCTTGCCTCAGTGGAGACAGCCAGAATTAAATGGTCATGGATGCAAAAATACATTCTTACCACAGAAGTGATCCTTCAATACAGAATTGAGGCACACTTGCCAGAAACTTGACTGTACTTATGCTATGGATAAGGAAAGGGCTTCACAAGCACTAAATTAATATTTTTAGGAGGAAAAAAGCTGATGCAGAATCAGCACAAAATGCTGGTCTTGTGCAAACCATGCAAAACGTCTAACTAAAAACCACTGAAAGTGGTGGATTTTATAACCTGCTGACATTGTACTCTAGTTCATTATTTTAAGAAGGAGACAAAATTTTGACACTAGTCCTGTTTATATTGACCAAGGGAGCCATATTACCGACCTAAACCATGCTCTTGCTAGAAAGGTGCTAACGGTGTTGCCAGCTAACGTAGGCAGAATTTTATCCTAATAACAAAACTGTGCTCTTAAATGAACCTAATCATTCTACTAATATGAAGAAAAAATATAAATTCTTTTCTAGTTTCTATTTGAAATTGTGTTTTTTGGATGGTTGGGATGAGGAGAGGGTAAGTACTTATGCATAAACGTTGTACATTATTCACATCTTACCACATCCTCTTTTGCACAGAGTTGATGCGTTACCATGAGCCAAGAACAGTTTTTCTTCTGTACCTCATAGCCATTGAAACCCTAATGAAAAAAAATTATTAAAATAGCACTACAGTTATAAAAACAAATGTCCTTTGCATTCTTGGCTTGGGACACAAGGATGTACAGAAATATTCTCTGATCAATAACCATAACTATATCAACAATCTTAATGTTATTTATGTATATAACTTTCATGTGATTTTTTTTTTAAACTATCAAATCTAGGTAGATATTTACACCACCTAGATAACAGTAGCTAAGCAGGTAGTTTAATTTAATCCTGAATATTAATGAAAAAGTGTTCTGATTTCACCCACATTCAGCTGTAGCAATGTGATCTAGTATTTGCAGAAAAAAACCACAAAGATGCTAATTCAAGATCTTTGAAAGAACTTTTGTGGTGTCGCACTGATTAATATGAAAAATTCAGTTAATGTATCTAAACATGAACCTCATGATGGGAAGCAACAAAATACAATCATATATGCTTTCCCCATACCACCTTACACTGGGAATGTTCTCTATTAAAATTTATTTACCGTACATTTTGGAGTTTGAGTTATGCACATAACTAATCTAAGGACCTGTTTACAGTGGGGATATTTGTACTGATGTACCTACACCACTGCAAATCTGCAGATGTGCTGCACTGGTGTATTATGGGATCTTAAAATTCTACATCTCTAACATTTAAATAAGGAACTAACTAGCATGTTCTTCTGTGTAATCTAATCTGCACTTTGTATATAAAACTTGTGGTTTTGATAAATTTGTGGAGAGTGCATGATGAAAATTAAGTCCATGAAAAATCATGTAGTATAATTTGTTAAAGGAGATTGGTTTTAATTATCATTACTACAAATCAGTGTGTCAAGACTTAACAATCAGTTGCTTGGGAATGGCTAAAGAATATTAGGATCTGGATAGAACTGCCAATTTAAAACTTTGTCCTCTGGGAGAAACACTCTGACTATACTATATTTTTGGTGTTGCTCAGATCCCAAAATGATAGTTGGTTGCCAGATTAAAACCCTAGACAGATCATGTGATTCAAATGTCAGATGCTGGTGCTGTGTCAATTCTACTTTTATTTTGGTATACTTTAGTGTTCTGTGCTCTTAGTTTACATCACATAGACAACAACAATGAAAATGAGATCATCATATGAAACTGAGCAAGGACTGATGCCAAGTCTTCCTACAGCATAAGGTGGAGGGAGAAATGAACCACATGCTTTCAGAAAACTTCTCTTCTACTCTAGTGCTGCTATAAACAGCATGGTGAATTTGCTATAAACACCAAAAACTTTAACTGTAATATTCCAAAAACTATTCATAAGCTGGATAAGAGACAAAGGTGGGGTGGGACAGGATATAACATCTCCATGTACCTGCAGAACAGAAAAGCCTACAGCATGCACGTAACTAGGGATAACCTGGGCCAGGACGGCTACAAGCCTCGTGCCACTTGTGGGTTGTAAGGGCCATGCCTTCTGCACGGGGGCAGTTGAGCTTGGGGTGTGTGCGTGTGTTATTATGGGGTGTGTTTCTAGCCCTGTGACCTCACGGAAGCCCCAGCTCGAGAACAGTGGGCGCCAGAAGGGAATCCCAGCGCTGCACAGCTGACGGAGAGTCCCCAGGAGGCGCAGCGCGGAGCCTGCTGGGCAGCGCTGACAGCGCGGGCGCTTCAAAGGGTGTGTGTGTGGGGGGGTGTCTCCGGAGCGGAGCCGCGCTCGGCGCTGTCTCCCCACCATGACACCCCCCTTTCCTCACACCACTGCCAGCGCTGCCGGGCAGCCACTCGCCCACGCGGGCTTGAGGCGGCCCCGGGGGAGGGGGCCCCGGGGGCGTGGTGGGGTCTGTGGTGCGGCCCCTGGCCCGAGGGAGGGGGCCGGGGGGCGGGCAGCCGGACTCACTCGGGCGGGGGCCTGCGCGAGCAGAAGGCGGCCGGCGCAGGAGCTGGTGGTGCAGAATCGCTCCTGCCCGTTGAGGAGTTGCACTAGCTCCGCGATGGCCTCGTCCACGCTGCCCTTCCTGCTCTCGTCCGCCCGGGCCAGGCGCTGCTCCTTCCAGCGCCGGAAGGCGGCCATGGGCTCGCGAGGACGGAGAGCCGGGCCGGGACCGGCAAGCGGGCGACCCCCAGGCTGCACAGCCGCCCTATTCGCTGATGGTGGCCGGGTTAGGCCAAACCTGCCGGGGCCCGGCTGCGAAGCGCGCCGGGCACTTCCGGGCTGGGGGAGGGGCTCTGTGGGCCGTATCGGCGAGTAGAAGCCGGAAGAGGCGGGGCTGGATGGGGGAGGGTCTAACGGCCTGGGGATGGGCGGGGCGCTGGTGCTGAGCGGGCGGAGCTGTTGCTACCTGAGGAGGTCGGGCGGTGGGAGGTGAGGCGGTCTCGCGGCCGGGGGGTTACGCCGTTAGCCGCGGGGGCAGGGGGTGGTCGCAGGGCGGCTAGAGGGCCCGGAACTGAGGGGGGCCTGAGGGCAGGGTCGGTTCCGAGCGGGAGGGCGCGGAGACCCGCCGTCTCTGGGGAGCCTCAGGGCGACCCCTGCTCCTGCGCCCCCGGGGCCTCGCTCCCTGTGTCCCGTGTCCGGGCCGAGGCCGCTTGGCTGGAAACGGGCTAACCCGCTCCTCGGTAGCGGGCAGATTCCGGGCAGCGCCTCATGGCGCTGCCACCAGCCCGGGGCACGGGCCAGCGGGCTGGGCCCTGGGGCCACGGCTCAGGCACGGGGGGCTCCCCTCGCTCTCCCCTCCCTGGGCGCGTCCTGTCCGCACACCCCTGGCTGTCGGGGGCGGCGGCCCGACGCGGAGCTCAGAGCCGGGATCCCCGGGACGGCCATTCCCGTGTTCGGGCTGGTGTTCGAAACGGCGACAGCCTCCTGAGCCCTGCCTGGGGCAATGGCAGGAAACCTTGCGGGGAACCAGCTGTGTAACGTGGGCCGGGGGGTTGAGCAGACCAAGTCATCGGATCTAGCGCTTTGGGCTTTAGTATCGGCTCCAAGGGCAAATCCCTTAGATAGAATTTGAGTGCTTAAAATTAGACGCTGGAATGTGGGTTTAGACACCAAAATGAAATTATGAAAAGGCTTTGAAACTAACCCACCACTCCAATATGAGATAGGAATTGATACCATTTTACAGCTGGAGAAACTGAGGCACAAAGGTGTTAGGGTCAGAACCTTCTAATGTGAGCACTTACTTTGCTGCCTGAAGGAGTGGCATTTAAATTCACTGGTTTCAGAATAGCAGCCGTGTTAGTCTGTATCCGCAAAAAGAAGAACAGGAGGACTTGTGGCACCTTAGAGACTAACAAATTTATTAGAGCATAAGCTTTCGTGGACTACAGCCCACTTCTTCGGATGCATATCCGAAGAAGTGGGCTGTAGTCCAC